AAAATAAAAACGTTTAAAAACATCCATAAATTCTTGTTCGTTTTTTTCAACTCAAAACAAACTTTGACAGTTCGGTCGATTTGTCATTCTGGATTCGACTGAAGTTGAAGCGATATAGGATTATGGTTTTGCGCGCGGAATTCAAATCTGCGATTGGAATCGCATGCACAAATTGAATATGTCATTCAGAGAAAAAAAAAACTGTTGTGGCATTGAATAAAAGACAAAAGCGTTTTTATTTTTCATATATATTTTTGTTGGTAAAATTGATTTATTTTCCGTTTGCTAATCATTTTTTGTTTATTTTTAACGTTACTTTTTTGATCGAGTGTTAAAAGTTAGAAATATATGTTAGATATTAATATTGTGTGTGTAAATAAATTAATCGTATGTTCTTATTTAGCGCCGTCCGCTCCCGATTTTCATTCTGTTTGGTAATGCATTTCAAACATTTTGATGTTTGGTTGTGTTTTTTTTTATATCCAAGACAAGTGCTGTTTTTTTTTTTGCTCTGGCGTAGATTTTGAAAAATTTCGAAAATTATTCGAAAATAGGCCCAAATTGTTATTTGACTCGTTAGATCGCGTAAAAGTAACGATCTGCAACCTATTCCGGACCAATTGGTTCGAAATTTTTCAAAAAATCTACGCCGAGCAAAAAACAGCACTTCTCAGCGACGCACGTCACCAGTTGATCGGCTGGTACACAGAACATTTCACCATTTGCTACTTCAGTCATACATTCGTTCATGCAAATCAAAGCAAACTGTGGCTCGTGTGTACGGTTTACCAGTTACAACGTGTGTGCGAAGCAGTCAAATTCTTGCGAGGTGAATTGTCGTCTTAGTTCGCGCCTTATGTACACACGTTCGTTAGAACGTACTCACGCTATACTCGCATCAACGAATATATACTACCGAAGTAGCAACTGGTAAAATGTGCTGTGTACCAGCCAAAATTCTGGTTACGCGCATCGCTGAGTTGTCTTGGATATAAATCGTTCAAAGACCGAACGAAAAGAGAAAGGAAAAAAGCATACATGTAACGCAAACAGATTAAATATGGATACGGTTAAATGCGACTAAATCATAAATTTTGATTTGAAACATTAATTTATTGCTTCTTTTTGAAACATAAGAAGAAAAGCCAATGAATAAAAAAAATTCCCATATCTATCTTGTGACAATTGCTCGGTTTACAATGACACAAAAGAAAAATATGTATTGAAAACCATTTGCGCGTTTCACAAAATTCTCTTTTTTTCTGTTTTTTTAATTAATTCGAATACTATTTCGAACGAACGAAAAAACCTATTTCCCTATGTCAATGTGCTTTGTTTGTAAGTGGTTTTGTTTTAGAATAAACACGATTCCCATTTGGAAGATACTACAAAGGAAAGAAAAAACGAATTGAATTGAAATGAACCGAGTATCAAATAAAAAATTAAATATATACAGAAAATATTCTAAACCGCATAAAGTTGACACAGATTGTTGTTCCTCTTTTTCTCTTTAAATTGGTTAACATCATCGTGTATGCCATTATTTTTTGTATTTCATTTTCTTCTGTTCGACATGCTTTTCCACTTATAAAACTAATATAAAAAAGATTTCTTCCTTTTTATTTGCTACGAACAAAATGTTTTCTTCATATAAAAATAGGAAAATTACAAAACAATTTTTAATGATGATAGTTTTATAATAATAATAATAATAATAATATAATAATAATATAATAATAATGATAATAACATATAGCAAATAGTAATTTATTATATATATATTCTTCGAAATAAAGATTGTTTTGTTCTGTTGTGTGTTTGTTTCATTGTTGTTGTTTTTTTTTTTATCTTTCATACTAAAAATTAGGAATTTTCTCAAATAATTTACAAAATATAAAAAAAAATTCAATTTTCAACGCCCACACTTCCACGGAATTCACCCCATCCGAGAGTCAGTTCAATGGAGGATGTCGTTGAAATTGAAATTTTCATTGTCAAGTGAACTAAGTAAGTCTTGTGCAGTATAGTTGCTTGCATCTCCCACGGGTAAATTTTCTAAAAATTCTAAACTATTTCCGTTGTCGTTAAAGTTAATGCTTTGCTGTTGTGACATGATGGCTGTATGACGCCAATCGGGATTCATTGCCATTTTATCGGGCACGGGATGAACATTTGGTTGTTGTCGTTGTTGATTCATGTGACCAAATTGCGTTGGCATACGTTGTTGCTGTTGTTGCTGGTTCGCATGTTGTTGGTTCCCATGCTGTTGTTGCATGAACATTTGATGTTGTGGCCGCATCATAGCACCTAAAATGATTATCGGTTACGATTCAGACTGAGATCTATTTTTCCACTTCGGATTGAGGTATTCTTTTCTTTCTCACAATTCTTACCAGTATTCGGCATGTGTTGTTGTTGTTGTTGTTGTTGTTGTTGTTGTTGTTGGTTCATCCGTCGCATATTCGCCGCTGCAGCAACTGCGGCCGCATTGTTTGGAAAGCCACGGCCCGCTTGATGCATCATTTGATTCGGTAACATTCCTGAAGAAAAAAAACAATTCGCAAAATGAAATTTTATACTTCTTTCTTGGTAAAAACAGTAGCAAAATGGTCCAAAATGTAATTTACCTTTGTATTCAGGTGGTGGAGGTCTGTTGCCCATTTGCATCGCTTGCGCTCGCATCATGTGCTGTTGCTGTTGCCGTTGTTGATGTTGTTGTTGCTGCTGTTGATGTTGCTGTTGTTGCTGCTGCAAGGAAAAATCGCGTCATTTTGACGGAAACAAAACGTGCAGATATAAAAAAAAAAAAATTACGGTCACTGTATACATACCATGACTGCTGACGTAGAAAGCATGGAACCATGCGCATTCATATTCATTCCCATTGGATTACTCATGGCTGTCATATTTTGTATGGGATTACCGCTCGCATTCACATTGTTTTGTGCCATCGCTTGAGGTAAATTGACTGTAAAAGGAAGCGAAAGAGAGGAGTCAATAAATATTCTTGCATAATTCCGCCAGTTACACCAAAAAAAAAAAATAATAGATGGATTGAAAGTTTACTTGGCAATCTACCTGGATTCTGGGCGCCCATATTCATTTGCATGCCCATTTGTGAATGTTGTTGCGATTGAGACGGTGGCGCTTGTTGATTCGTTTGCTGTGGCGCTTGTCTTTGGCGAAGTGTTTGTTGTGTGAAATTGATTGTTTGCGTTTGTGAAACGGAATACGAATCGTTGCCTGCATCTATGGAAGTCAAAATTGGTTGGAATGAATTGATTAGAATAATTGGACTAGAAAGTAGGAATATTCGGCGATGATTATTCGTATTTTGAAGAGAGAGAGAGAGAGAGAGAAGACAAATTATTGGTGAAGAGCTTACTTTGAGGATTATTATTTGGTTGCTGTACGTGAGGCTGTTGATTGTTGTTCATATTGCTTGGATTTGTATTGCATCCGGGACCAGCGTTCATATTTTGTGGCGGTTGACCTTTATTTGCATGCTGTTGATTGAAGAAGATGCCTTGCTGAGCGGCTACTGACACATTATTTTTCATATCACCACTTAAATGTAAATGTTGACCAGCTGAAACCTGTAAATAAAAGCCACAAATCAAGTTATTTAAGTTAATTCACAGTTTGAATATGTTCGAATCAAAATGTATATCAAAAACCAAAATCCGATGCTAATTTTCGGGCCATTCGCTAAATTAGAAACCGACACCAAAAATTCAAAGCTTGTGTGTACTTACATGGATGCCCGGTGAATTTGGACCATGTTGATTGATATGCAGTTGTTGCGTTTGTTTCATTTGTAATGTGGTAGTTGACTGATTGTTTGGCATCGGATTGCAATTGCCGGCACCGTTGTTCACATTTGGTTTGCCTGCATTTGGTGGCGGACGAGGTGGTAAATTATTTGCCGTATGTTGTGACTGTGCTGGATTACGACCCATAAAGTTTGGCGCTATAAAATATGTGTACAAATGGGGGATGGGGTTAAGTTTAAGCAAACAACAACAGCAACAAAAATAAAGCGAAACGTAACAGGAATAAAAAAAAAACACATTCGCTTGGGTCAATAATATGGGCGTTATGATAATATCATATATTTAATACCTATTGAATTTGGTGAACCGTATGGGAATTGTTGTTGTTTATTGAATGCATTCGGATTGAGTTTCGTTTGCATTTGTGGCGGCATATGAAGTGTTTGCTGTTGCGAAAACATCATCTCTTGTTTGGCAGCTAATTCGAATTGTGCATTGCCGCCCGTTGAATTGTTTATAAAATCGGAACTATTGAATTGACTAAAATCATTGCCAAATGGTCCCGAATTCACAATATTATTACGATTGGGATTCACTTGTGGTGCATTTTGATTATTGGCCATCGGTGATCGAACGAATGGCATTCCCATAATCTTGTGCTGTTGATGCTGTTCAGCCATTTGCTTAAGTGTTTGGGCCGGTGATAGTTCGCACTAGAGATTGGTCGAGAGAAAAAAAGAAGAAGAAGATGTCAGCAATTAGAATTAATTTCAACACATTTTCCATTAGAATCATTACCATTGAATTATTCGGCACGTTACATGTATTGTAACCACCACGTTGATGTAGCTGTTGCTGTTGCTGCTGTTGTTGTTGTTGTTGTTGTTGTTGTTGTTGTTGCTGCTGTTGCTGTTGTGCGAACTGTGCATGCGAATTATTCGTTGGTTTTACATTGAAACTGTCCAATCCGAGTTGATCGGGCTTACAGTCCTCCGTTTTGATGTCCATTTTAAGAAAATCGGAATTATTGATATCGGTGAGATCAGAGATAATGTCTTTGAATGTGTCGCTATCGTCGATGGTGTCATCGCCAATGAGATCGGGAAAGCCGGGAAAATGGCCATTGGCCGCTGCATCCTTTTCCAATGCGGCCGCACACTGTTCCAAATCGGCAAAATCGGAGTCCGGCTCTTGTTTACATTCAATCAAATTATTGGCTAAATCGTTGTTGGTTTGTGAAACGGGCGACGGTACGGCATGTTGACCATTTACGGTTGGCACACAGTTTCCGTCGTGCTGGTTATTCACATGATTATGAAGAATGACACCACCGCCTCCGCCACCACCGCCATTATTATTACCATGTTGACTACCATCACTCTTCACCGATGCATTTGTCAATGCTTTCACCGTAACATTGGTACTGATTTGTTGTGGCTGTGAATTGGCCGCTGACGTCGTAAACTCCAATTGCTGCACAATTTCCACGGAAAATTTCAAATTCTCACTACTCGTGTGCGACAGCTTATGTGGCGGCTCATAATTATCTGTAACATTTTCGGTGTCATCTAATGACCGTTTCAGGAATTTCTGCTGCTGCAAATGGAGAGAGAGAGAGAGAGAAAGAGAAAGAACAGATTTGGTTGATTAAATAAATCGGCATCAAAGTCATTGGAAGCATTAAGTTATGAGTGAAGAGAGAAAAAAAACGAAACGAGGCAAAACACACAAACAATATAATGGTTAGACAAAAGTGAATAAACGTCTTGGCTTCTAAGTCATGAGCAGTTCAATTCAATGCAGTTTTCATGCAACCATCAGTGGGCGTATGTGATAAATGAGCAAGCGAAGCAAGCGAACGACAGAGAGAAAAACATGAATACCAAACGATATCTTCACTGGAATTTGAAACTCACGGGAGATTATTTGTTGGCATACATATACTAAATATGTTTATATGTTGCGCGCAGGTGCGTTTATCTTATTCATGTGTTAACCTCATTGTTCAAAACCATTATCTGTTTGACAAAAAGGTACGCGTGTTTATTGTACACCATAATAAACGATATACTCAGCATTTATTCTGTTTTTTCGGTCGATGCTATTGTGAGCATGTCTTCCAACACACAAAGTTCTTGCTTGAGATATCGTTTCGAATGCCACTTCTTCCACGCGAGAGAGACAGAGACAGAGGGAGAGAGAGAGAAGAAAAGATGGTTGTCTCAAAAACGAGCCCAAAACCAAATGCATACTTCTTTTTCAGACCAGTCGAAAAAAAAAACGGAAGTTTAAATCTGGGCGTTTTGAGCGTACTTTCCTTCGTCTCCATTCAATTCTGGTTAAATGGAATGTTTGATTTGAAATGATCAAATCGTTTCATCATACCGGATATTCTCATTTCATCGCTTGAACGCATGCTATTTCGCCTTGGATATGGCATCATTCAGCGATTTAGTGTGACTCAACGCTCGGTAAATGATTCGTTATCTGGACAATTCTTGCAGTAACTTGCAGTAGAAAATCATAGCCTAAAATAAAACGTTCATCGTTATAGTCGATCGTTCATTCTTCGAACGAACATTTTTGGGCGCTGATTCATCGCCGTTCATACTGAGAACAAGTAGAAAATGCACAGAACAAATGCATATCGATGACGAGGGTTTTGTAATTGAATACGCTGAAACATTGAAGAATCATAATTCATTCCACTGTCGGAGCGATGACAATGGCGTTTTGACATTTTGCCATCACGACCAACGATCAACAGAACAAAAAAAAAAAACAAAACCAAATGATCGCATTTATTTTGTGGACTGACGACCGAGTAAAACATTAAAAAAAAATCGGAACCAACATTGAGACGAAAAAGAAGTAGAAATGAACGAAAAAAAAAATTAGAAAGTTCGTTTGAATTTGGATTGGTTTTGAAAAGCGACTTCAGTTTGGTTGATGTTTTTCATCCCAAAACACACACACACAGAGAGAGAGAGAGAGACAAGAAACTTTTTTTTCTCGAAAATTGGTGAAGATTTGTAATGTCTTATGCGTTTTCGCATATGATTCTTTCGCCTTTCTCCGGTATCATCATGCTCGCATATTTCTCTTGTAACAAACACACACACACACACACACACACACACACACACACAAAATTATGTTCAATCGTAATCGTGGTGCTTCACTTTCCCTAATTAAATGGAAACAACAAAGAAAACACACAAATCATCGAAACGATGTAAAATGTACAAATACAAAATTATTATTGTATAAAATAGCGTCATACGCACAGAGGAAGAGGGAGAGGGAAACAGAGTAGAGAAGTAAGCAGAAAAAAAACAGCAACAACCATTTCGAATGGAAAGCCAATGTATCGTTAAGCAAATACTGTGTAATTAGTTTGTATGAATGTTGAAGTGAAGAGAGTGCGCGAGCGAGCAAGCGATCGAACGAGTGAACGACGTGCGGCGGTCGACGTTTGCGCTTCGCCAATGCACAACAATCCAATTCCATACACACATACTCAATACATACACAAATCTCTCTCCGTGTCTATATATAAAAAATAATTTTTTTCTATATTTAGCTGAAGAAAAAAATATTCATTTATTTCATTTGCATTGCGCGCTTCGTTCACTTTAATGCCATATTAAAATTGTGTGGTCAAATCACAAAGTCATATCTGATGTGTATTATTTCGATGGATTTTTTTTTCCACTCATACATTTCAATTTTATTCGAATTATGTGTATACGGGTATGACTGGTTCATTCCATCATGAATGAAATTCACTCTCTCAATTTTGTTTGCATTTGCACAATTTGGTTTCATTTGTTTTTTTTTTGGGTTTGGTAAGAAGTACAAAAGATTTTAACGAAGTCGCCATTCGGACGAAAGGCCAACAATATATTTGATTGTTGCAGTTTCGTCAACGAAATTCGCGCAAAAATTAAGCAGAAATCGAACAAAAATGTTCACAGCATGCCGTTCAAAAATCAGGTCATATGTTTTTCTCTGAAAAAAAAAACCTATTTGGAAGTGCACTTTTTCGAAATGGTTGCATATCAATTCTAAATCTTCAATTCAATATCAACTTTTCTTATCTAATGTTCACAACAAGCGAGTAATACAGAACAAGCGATCACGATGAAGTAAACAACTCAGAACGATTCTCGTAGCATTTTCAATGTAATGTTTTTCAACCGAACCGGCCGAAAGAAACAAAAATTCTACGTCATACAACGCGTAGTTCTTTGCATTATGATCTAAAAAGAAACAAATTTCGATTAAGGTCACACAAAAATGATAACCTTTTCCAACAATATGAATATACTCGACGAGACTTACAAATCCAATACGTCAGTTTTTTTGTTTGTTGAAGTTTAAAAAAATGATTCTTATACAATAAGCGAGAATCAATATTTTGATGTTAACAAAACGGACCATTAATGACTGAAAGCATAAGTGCTCTTAAGACGATTAAATCCCATTGAAAAGATTAAAAAAAAAGAAGAATAATACAAATCGTTCTAAAGTACCTCTCTCACTTTCATTCGCTGTCGACAGAGCGGCTTCAAAATCGAGTACAAACAAAACGCAATGGCAATCACAAATCAAGCGTAGCACACTATCTTATCGATAAGTAATTTATAGGTACAATTGACAAGTTATTTGAATATCGTGGCAATGTGTGTATGTGAATCAGGATGAAGACCGTTTACCTTTGTGCTAATCGTTGCTGATGATAAAATTGGTGCAACAACAGTAACAACAATAAGACTAACCAAATCAAATGTGCTAGCAAAAACAACTCGGCAAGAATTGCACTTGGCTTTTGTGCGCGCATATCAATTGCATTCAGCACATTTGCACGAATATAACTGGTTGTTGTAGTTGTTGTTATGCGAAATAGAAGAAGAAGAAGAAGAAGAAGAAGAAGAAGAAGAAGAAGAAGAAG